GCTTGGGGAAGTATCATCACCCACTGAAAGCCCATATGTGGTTTTGTAACAAAGGTATTTGCTTCCTGTCTTGCCCACTCATCAGAGGAATATACGAGCAGGGCTGAGCAGCACCCTGGAGACAGAATAAAACCAAACAGTGCTCGGAGGGCTCTGCAGGAGCCGTGCAGGAGAACACATTATGGGCACCCCGGGGAAGAGAAATCTCCTTTCTCCCAGCCTTGGGAATGGCACACAGCCAGGATCCACCATGCACCTATCCTGCACCTGATCAAGATTAAATAGATGTTAGTAAGTGTTAAATAAATGAATGAAGTCAGGTCTTGGTCCCCAAACCTGCCCATATACAACAACTTCCCTTGTGGAGCCACAATTCACTGAGGCCTAAAAAAGAGCACTTTCTGTGAAATTCTCCATGTCATTGCTGTGGTTTGGTGTGCCAGCATGGTCCTGCCAGTTGCCTGCCCAGGCAGCAAAGGGATCAGCAGCAGGCTGGGCTGCTGTGGGAACACAGGCATAGCCAGCATGTCACACAGCACTTGAACCACATCAAGACATTGCCCATAGTTTTGGAAGCCCCAAGAGAAGTTTCAGTGTTGATTAATTAAAGGAAATTCAGCCAGGTCCACTGAAATATCCAGGGAAGCTGTTGAGGACACCGAGCAAGGCTCTTCACAGCAATCCATAGCAAGAAGGTAAGTGACAGTGGGCATATCTGAAACAAAAGTGACAGTGGGCAAATCTGAAACAAAAGGTTCCCACTGGATGCTAGGAGAAGATTTTCCCTCCTTTATCTAGGGTTAGTACCAAGAGAAAACCAGCAAAGCATCTTTAAAAACAACACTCAAGGCTAAGTAGAATGAAGCCTTTGCCCTTCTCCCATTGCCAAATTCACAACTACTGAGACAGAGCAACATATGGAAGGAAATTAAGGATAGTTCTGTGAAATGAGCACCAGCACTCCTTCACATCTGGAGCAGAATCTGGATTGGCTAACCCATTTCACATCACCCTTTCCACCGTCCCCCTCAAAAATCAAATACTCATGTAACATTTATGTGCACATACACTGCAAGACCCGAGACAACTTGGCCTGGGGAACCACTCCAAATAAGCAGCTTCCATGACTGGCCCTGATTGAAATATCCCTGAAAGCTTTTCATAAAGAAGGAAAACTCATGAGATACAACATGTCATTGACTACACACCTTGGTGCTTGGGAGGTTTAGGGTGGACAGTAGGAAAAAATCTCTTTGCTAGGAGGATGGCAGAGCTAAAAGCAAGGTACCCCAGCCCTCAGCTCAACAGCCACACAGTTCTGATATGACATCCTTGGCAGCTCTGCTCTCGAGCTCCAAAGTCTTTGTAGGTCTATGCAGTTGCAACAACAAGATGAGGGACTATTGATCTTGGTCACCAACTCCAAGAAAAGATCTCTCAGCCACTTCATTGTTAATATCTAAACATCAGGTCCCTTCTTGAAAGAAGGCAAAAGACCTCCTAGAAGCTGTACTGCTTGGGGCTGTGCCTGGGGGGGACACACCTCAGCCACCTTCAGATCCAAGCACTCAAAAACTGCATAATCAAGTGACAGCAGCAAAGCTTTGGCAAGACATCTGTCCATCTATAAATAGAGCTTAACTGTGTGTCCTTATCACAGGGCTTTGATGTGTCTGGGGAGAATATGTTCTTCCCCTTCACCACCAAGTCCCAGGCAGCACAGATAATGGGCTTGAATCGATCCAGCTCAAGTATTGCTAAACTTCCTACCACTGTGGCAGCATGCCAGCCTCAAATAGGACAAGAGAACATGTGTCTGTTCAGAGCCAACCACAAGGAGCAGGCAGAAAATTGCTTTAGGCTTAAAAAAAAAAAAAAAAAAGGTGCTTTTTGCAGATTTGTAGATCAATCTACAATGTATTTTAGAGGTTTAAGAAAGTCAATATAAACAAGATATATCATAGCTGCACAAGAAGCTGAGAAGTTGTATTTCTATTTATGCTGCTACTGGCACTCCAGCTGCTGGCCCAGTGTCCTGCTGCAGTCCTACACCACTACTTCTCCAGCAGGAAAGTTGAGGGAAGGGGTTCTTTCTGCTGCTGCAGTTCATCCCCCCCACTGGTTTTAGCAGGACAACTCAGCCCTGGGGCTGGCTCGGGTCTGATATATCTGAAGTGTCACCACTGCACCCTGTGCCGTGCTTACAGCAGGAGGGCAGCAGGAGGACACAGGGACCAGTGGCAGTGGCCAGGCTGACCTCCCACAAAGGGTAGCTCATCTCCTCCTCTGTCCTCACAGGCTCAGCAAACAAATTGGCTCAGCTCCCTGGGGATTCTCTGGGCAGTGCTGAGACAATCCCTTGGCATTCGTTTCTCAAGCTGGTTCTGCTGCAGAACTGCAGTGCCTGACCTCTACAAACTCATCCCCAGGGATGTGACAAGTTGGTTCCCTCCCACAACACGTCTGCCACGTGCCCACCATTCCTCTTGAACCATCCTGGCATGAGTTGGGAGAGGCCTTGCACAGATGGCTCTGCCACCCCTCTGCCCCCCTCAGCTCCACTGCAGGGCACTACAAAGCATATTCAGAATTTTTCTCTCCCTTTGTTATTATAGTGAGTCACAGAACATGCCTTATCAAACCAGACCTAAATCATGCCTGTCTCTCTCCATATCCAATGTAATATGTCAGCCATTAAACATGCAACTTACAAATCCATGAGAAGCTCCCATCCTCTCATGGGCAGGAGTGCTCACATCCCTGAAGTGGAGCCAGTCCCAATGAGCCACCAGGAAGTGGATCCCACTGGAAGTGACCACACCCATTTCTGAGTCTCCATGAGGCACAAAACCCCATTTCCCGGCTTCCACCCTCTGCCTCAGAGGGTGAGGAATAAAGTGTGCATCTGGATGGGAAAGAGTTGGCTGTACACCCTTGATCAACAAGGAGAAGTCCACGGGCTGTGGGATGCCCAGCTCCAGACATCCTTCTGCCCCAGAGCCCATCCAGGTCTGGGAAAATTGGTCAGCCTGCCACAGAGAAGCAGAAAGCAGCTTCCTACCCTTCCTACACCGCTAAAACTTGTGCAAATGCCTGCCACACATCCCACCAAACCCTTTGGGAGCAAACCTGAGAGAGGCAGCCAGTGATGCAGGGCAGGGATGGGCAGCTGACGCAGCAAAGCTGGCAGCAGCACCAGCCTGCTGATGCTTCTCCAACCCCCTTCCCAGCTCTCTGCCAGGCCCAAGCTCCTCTAGCAGCACATCATCTGGGCTGGGCTCTTACTCATCTGCTGCCATGCACAAGCAGGTGTCAGGGGACATATCGCTGCGCGAATTCAAGGAAGAAACAAGCAGCATTAACTGGTAGCACGTGTGCATGGAGACCCCTCAAACCCTTTTTCCCCTTGCTCCCATGCTCTGCTCTGGGCCACTAAATCCAATTCAGCAGTGCTCCGAGCTTGTACCAAAGCTGCGACACATTTGTCAGATCCCTGACTAGACCCATGGCTAATTTTACAGCGCTAATTTATCTCACCATATTATATCGCTTTCATTTCATCCCCCCAGGATCCCATTACTGCCAGTGTACCTTGTAGCCAGCATGTAACAGTAATTGGTATTATTAGCGACGTACCCTGCTCGAGCTGCTCTATTTGCAGAGCTGTAAGGAGTCCCGTGGGTGGGCTGATCCACCTCGAGGATGGGGAGGGAAGGAGTCCTTGTTCCATGCTGCTCCACAGATGCCACCAAGGAGCAACGCCAAGGGCAGGGTTTTGCTGCTGCAGAGCACCTCTGCACGCCCAGACCTCAGCCCACTGACCATTGTGGCTCCATCAGGTGTTGCCCACCCCTGGGATCCTCAGTCTTGACCTTTTAACTCCAGGGCAAACAATCAAGCATGCACATAGGGAGCATTTCTGTCCTTGCTTGTGGCTCAAAGGATAAAGGACTCTGCTTATCCAGGGTTAAAGGGGCTGCAAAAAAATTCTGGGAAGCATGATGCAGGGGTAGAGGGCAGGGAAAATTCATTATTCATGCTATTCTGGTCAAAAGTTTCTCCTCTTCAGTGTAAGCGACTGCTTTCTAGGATCAACATAATTAAAGCCATGCAGTTTTAGCTAAGTGAGAGGCTGCAATAGTCAAACGGTGACAATTCCCACTTAAGACGTCCTTGTCTGACATTTAGAGACTTGTTAAATTTTAATTCATCATTTTCCTTTCCCAGGCACAGCACCACCAAGCACCAGGCTTCCCCAGCACAGCTCTGCAGGGTCTGCATCCCCAGGTGGGGCAGCTCCATCTCCAGGCTCCTTCCCTGCTCCACCATGGCTCAAAGAACATGATCCCAAAGCCCTCCTCAAACAGCAGTGTGTTACCACAGCCCCATACTGAGAACCTATGTAGCAGGCCTCAGAGGTGGGGCAGCCTCTAGCCCATGGCTGCTGGTGGTGATGGTCTCCTAAGGAGGTGCTTTCCTTTCCAAGCAAAGCCCATCCACCTCATCCCTGATGCTGCAGTCTGCCAGGGCAGGAAAGCAAAAAAAACCACCCAGCAGACCTGAGAGCTCCAAGTTGTACTTGTCTGCAAGAGGTGGCACCTCACCTTCCACCACACAGCTGGGCTGGGTGACACTTACCTGCTCCAGTGGTTCAGCCACAGCACGGGACCTCTGCTGCTGTGGTTTGACTGTGCACCTTTGAGCTGCCCAAGGGCTTTCAAGTGGGAGAGCTCTTTTTGGAGAAGTTGTCCATGGGCAGACCATAACATGGGATTTTCCAGGCTGTTCATCCACACTTCCCCCTCCACATGCTAAATAACCACTCTCAGCATCTGCCCTCTTTGCACAGCAGCTAAAAGGCTGCTCACACGCCAGAGCCAAGAGCAGCCTTTTGCCACACTTTAATAAACACCACCATCCTCACCAGAAGACACATGTCCTGCATTCCCACAAGGCACACCAACTCAGGACAAGCTAGGTGAGCAAGGTTTTTAACCCACCTCTTACTTCTCCACCCGTCCAGAGTCCTTGGGGTGTCCCCAACTTCTCATAAACGTCTGGGCGATTCTCCGGGCTGCTCGTCCAACCCTCACTTCTCAGATCTGGGATTTTCTTCAACAAAACAGAAGAGACAGCCTGTCAGGTTACCAGGTGAAACTCTGCCATTGCTTCAGGTTCAGCAAAGAACCAAGGAGGGGGGCATCTGTTTCCCAGCCCTGACAGCTGGGGGTAACCGGTGCAAACATGAACATGGTTAGAATGAGAGCCCTCCCACAAGAGCGTCACAGTCCAGCCCCAAAGCACGTATTTGCTTAATTATTTCGATTCAGAGACGTGAAATGGGAGAGGGGAAAAAAGACCCCTGCAGTGTGGGGCATCTCTGATCTTCTTTAAAGACAGACAGCAATGCTCCCCAGACAGAGCAGCACAGCAGCGCCACACTGCCAGCCCAGCACTGAGCCATTTGCCCGTGAGGTCTTGTGCTGCCGGAGCCCTAATCCTGAAAAGCCTCACACACATGTTAAACGGTGCAGGGAGAGGCCAGTCCCACTGAACCCAGGGGTGGGGAGAGGAAAACATGCCTGTATGGCTTTGCAGCACAGACACCAAGGACTGGAAACGGGAGGAGGACTTTCTGTGCTAGGTCTGACACGCTGTGTGGTGAGATGGAGTCAGAGGCACTGGTGTAACCAGTGGTGCCCTCCCTTACAGCAGGAAATACGCTTTTTGTGTTAGACAAACAAATTATCAGTCAAGATCTGTGCTCATTATCCAGCTCTTGTGGCCGAGGTTGTATTGCTCCCCCTACTTCTTTTTAAATGCTTTGAAGAGAAAAAAAAAAAAACCAAGTCTTGTGGCTCTGCATTATTAAAAATGAAAAATAGGAGCCAAAACCCACTGGCAAGAGAAAAGTCTGGGACTCACTCCTGCAGAGATTCTTTCCCAAGGGTGACAGTGACTCCAAGCTTGGAACACCACAGGCTTTAATTAGCACCCAACCCTCAGCTGATGAGCTTGCCAGAGTTCCTCCCAGGACCTCATGCAAAGCCTGGAGAAGCCAATGGGAAGACGCTGCAGAAACTCAAACTACAACCCCCCCTCCACCTCCCGCCTGCCTACAAAACCTAAATAAATAAATGACCACCCCCTGAAACTACACTGGGCGCCTGATGGCGAAACCCTCATTTGCAAAGTGCTTGGAAATAATTACAAAATTTTCCCAGAGTTTACAAGGAGGGGAGCTGACTGTTTGTCATGCCGGCAGCCACGGTGTGCCGCAATTTATCACACTTGTCAGGTGTCAGCCACCAAGAAATTTAACTCCAGCTGCCCCCAGCTCAGCACCCACAATGCCCCACCATTCAAAACCTGCTCTGCCAGGCACCCCAAAGCTGAGGAGTGACTGGCAAGGAGGGGAGGGGGCTGCTCCCCACCAAGCCTCCTCTCTGCAATGCAAATGTAACTCTTTGGTTATTCTTTGGAAGCAGTTTTGGTTGGGAGTGTTGGGTTTTTCCCCTACCCACAGATGAAGCGGAACAGGAAAGGAGACCAGGCTACAGCAAGAGATGAGGATCATTTATCATTACCTGCCAGAGACCCTCCTAGGCCCTAATTCCAGCTTGGCAGGGACCTGAGAAGAGAGACTGAGCTTAGCAGTGAGTACCCTCAGGGAGACAGTGCATTATTGTGGGTGCAAAGTGCATAATCCCAGTGCCTTTTCTGAGAGACATCTCTGGAACCTGTGGAAAGCAGTGACATTCTCTGCCACCTCTGTGCCCTGCACTGAGCCAGATGAGCCAGCCCAGCCACAGATCCAGCAGCCCAGCTTTCCACATGGAAATCAAGGCATGACTTGCTTTTGTAGGGGCTTCAAATTGAGGTCAAACTGGATTTTAGAGGAACTCAAAATGTCCAAAACAGGTCACCAGCTGAAGGACCTGACTTGGGGCATGAGTTACTGCTGAGCCAGAGGGAAGATCTGTGAGCTGTGCTTCCCCATAATAATGGGACAGCCTTGGTCACAGCTCAGGGGGGCTCACATAAGGAGCAAATATCATCAGCCACAGAGCAGGGACAAATCCTGGGTGAGGTCTCTGCAGGAGGGCTTGCATCAGTGCTGAGCTCACCCTGCATCACCAGGACATCAGCAATGCCATGGTCATGGCACATCATCAGCATGACACCTGTTTTATAGGGCCTGTCTGGGCTGCCTCACTGAAATTCTCCTGCTTTGGCCATTTCTGTAGCAACAAGCTGACTTAAGAGAAACCTGCCTGCAAAAGCACTAACTTTTTAAACAGGTCCTTGCAAAATGCTGGAGGAAGCCCAGCACTCATGGCATGCTGCATGTCCCACATGATGCATCCGCATGGCACAGCGAGGGCTAACGGATAACTCAACCACTTGCTTAATGGAAAAAAAAAAATTAAAAATCCAAACACACATCATTTGCCAAAAATCCTTCTGTCCAGCACAAGCTGGTCAGGGATCCACAAATTTCACTTGCACCAGCAGAAGGGGCCCAGCATTTCCCAGCAGCGAGGCATCCCCGCAGGAGCGGGGGGCACAGGTTTTGCAGGGCAGCTCCTGCTGCGGGGACAGCCCCGCACATCCTGTGTGTGACACAGCCGCACAGCCCGCGATTCACAGCCTCGCCGCTTGGCGCGGGGAAGGCGGATTCCTAGGCCGTCAGCAACGAGCAGAACCCTGATGCCTGGCTCAAAACCTTCCCAAAAACTGTCAGGCTTAGACTCACAGCACAAAGATACTGGAATTCCTTCAGCACAACTGCAAGAATTTTTCTGCTTCTTTTTTTTTTTTTTTAATTTTATTTTTAACTGTGGATAAACTAATGCCTTCCCCCCCCAACCCTGTTCTGAGAGCAGCTTAAAACTCTCTTTGCTAAAATTTTCCAAAAAAATTCAGCCGGAGGCAGAGACATGTGAAGTTTCAGTCCAAATGGTTAAAGGCTGGCGTAGTTTCAAGCAACTGAAGACAGGGGCTTATAATCAGAAGTGTCAGGCAGCCTTAATTATATTATTTCCTGAAGGAAATAGTTTTCCCTGCTGAAGTCCAGGAGTTATTAAAAAAAGTTGACCTCACTGGAACCAATCAAGATGGAGACAAGAAGCCTGTGATGGATTCTTAAGGCAGGCGTGTTCATGCATCTGTATTTTTAGGGGTCCAGGATTTTAGGACAGGTATTCCCAGACAAGCCTGGCTTTGCAGCAGCTGAGGGCCAGGATGCAGAGCCCCCTCCCATCCATGTTCGTGGGTGCCCTGGGCAGGGGCACGTGGGAGCCCCATGCATGCAGGGAGGGTGCTTGCCTGTGCCCAGATCGATTGCCTCGCCAAGGCGAGCGAGGAAAAACAGCCGGATGCTTTGTAGCTGTCAGGAGCACACAGGCTTTTTGTCCGTGTCTTCCTCTGTGCCCATAAATAAAAGTGACAGCAACTTTATTTAGGACTTCTTCCAGTTAAGAGGGGATGGAAGAAAAGTGAAAAATTAAATCGTAGCTCAGCAGAGGCAGAGAGGGAAGGTCCTGGAGGCACAGCTCAGGCTCTGCCACTGCTGCAGCAGCCTGGGGTGGTGGCAGCCCTCACTCTCCAAAATCAGTGCCTCCTCATCACTATCAGTGCACCCCTCTCCCCTGCCCTTCCAGGCACAGAAATCCCAATCCCAATCCCAATCCAAATCCCACACTGCAGCCTCTGCCTTCTGCTGCCCATCCACTCCCCAGTGCACGCTGAGAGGTTCAAGCATCTGGAGTGAGTTGAGGTGGATTAACCATCTCCTGTTACGTCCTAAAAGATTGAAGCAACCCACAAATAATCCAGAGGAGAAAGTCACTTCTTCCCTGCTCGTGGGCAAAGGTTGTTCTTGTAGCACCAACAGCTGCCCTAAAAGGCAGCTCAGCCCTGTGCAGCTCACCGGCATGGCTGAGCAGGGAGCGCAGCATCTGCATCAGGATCCACTACCACAGAAAGTCCTGTCTGTTTGGCTATCACCTCCAATGAGTATTTTGCAACTGAGAAAACACCCCTTTTCTACAAAAAGCATGAGAAGAGACTCAAAGAGCAGGAGAGGAGGAAAGACTCCTCTGAAAGAGGGCTGAGCACCCTGCAGACTCAGCCCTGGCAATGCCCCAGCATGAGGGAGCTCAGCCAGGGTTTGAGCATCCCAGTCTGTCTCCCCCAGCTCCCTGCAGCCTTTCCCAGCAGCACAGCACCTCGTGTCTCACAACGGTATTGCAACCCACTGAAAACACAAGCTTTGTTTCAACCCTCATCCTGATTGCAGCAGTGCTGAGCCAGAGCTATGCCACAAGCCAAAATCCAGTTCCAGAGGGACTGTATGATTGTGCCAGTTCCCAGGTGCTTAGGGCCTTGACTGCAGCTCGTCTGGAGTTGTGCCCTGCACTTGCACACAAACACAAAATCTCAGGGCAGGTGTGTAGCAAAAGAACCCCCGCCCATCCCAGGGAAGAGCTCACCCCTTGCAGAAAGGTTTAGGGTGGAAGTTGTGTGCAGGTCCCGTGGGAGAGAGGCTGCCAGTGACCTCATGGGTTTCTTCCAGTGCTGCCCTCTCCGCTGCCATGAGTCAGAGATTAATGACAGGCCATTTGTCAGCACCGGTGGCATCATTGCCAATCTCATTTCTGAGCAGACATCTGACCTTGCTTGCCTCCCCGAGACCCATGTTACCGCATGGCTCCAGCAGCCTCCTGACAGCTCCCAGGGGAAGCAACACAAGGCAGGGAACGGGGCTGTGACAGCTTGATCCTGAGTCAGGATGCACAGACAAACAGCTCAGGATGAGCAGAGAGTGTTTGTCAGCTTGCCCCACTGCCCTACCCTCCTCCCAGCTGGCACCCAAGAAAGGGCCTCTCTTACCAAGCACTGGGCTAGGCTATGGAGAAAGGAGATCTGTGCCCAAAGATGGGGGCATAGGCAAAGCAAGCCTTGCCTGAAACTCTGGAAGAGGAAAGAGCGTGTGGGGGACATACCATCTTTTCCCCAAGCCTGCAGTATCTGTGTGTCTGGCCACACCACCCAGCCAGCTGAAGGGATCTGTGTGCAGTTCCAGCTGTGGCAACCAGACCTTCTCCACA